CACTCGAGCTGGACGACATCCAATCACTTCAGGGAAACTGACAGATGCGATTTCCTGAGGCTCAATGGAGGTTAAAAGAATTTGTACTCGCTTGCAATGGTTTCATGCGAAGTATCCAACACACAGTTTCACCAGTGTCATCACTGACAGTCACTATCACCATAGTTAACAATATCGACACTGTCATAATTGTGGCCATCTTCCTAGTCCCTTTTTCTCGGCATCAGTAATCACTACTACCGTTGTTGTCGTTCTCCCATTCCTCTTCCTCGACCATTTCATTTCTCTTCTTTTTCCTCCTCTTTGTCGACACTGTCAGCTACATCATCGTCTTTATCAGTAGCACGTAATGGGCCGAAAGACTGTTGAACCAAGTAGCTGCGGCAACTCTGACAGCTGGTTTGCTGTTTCTGCTGCTCTCTCTTCTAGAGAGTCATTCAAATGGTTCTTCTCTCAAGCCTTTGGCATATCGCCCTTATGAGAGTGCCACTTATGCGTAGACAGGCGAAATTGCTGTTCGACCTGAAGCCAGACTCCTCTTCTTGGATCTCAGTCAGTTAGTTTGCGGCAGGTCGTTTCTAACACCTATGCGTAGATTTTACCTGGGGAGCCAATGGAGCAATGCCCAGGTAACGAGCACTCACAATGATCTCTCTTCTTGAAGAGAGGTACTAAAGCTAATGTTCTTCAATCTACGGGTGTCTTCCCCATAGCTATTGCAGTTTGAAAGGCTCGTGTTTACCACAACATGCCTTGTTTGCCCAAGGCTCAGAGCATCTCAGGACGGATTTCTTCGACTCCAGCAGCCTCATCACTTTTAAAGCAATTTACAGCTTCTGTGATTTCGTCTACTGAAAGAAAATCATCGGCAGTCTGAGCTCGTCAGCGAATCTTCCTGCCGCTGCTCTAGGTTAAGCAGTTCCCAAAAATTTTTTCCACTGCCGACTGCTATCTTCCTTGGTTTGAAGACGTCCGTACTTGTCCCTCAGGTCTCTGATAATGTCTACTTTCCATCTCGGACCTAGTGGATGGTCTGCCAGATTACTTTATCGTCAGGAATTTCGACTCCAGCACCTATCCGAACTTATTTCAAGAATCAG